TCATTCAAAATTTTGAAGCAGAATGAGGTTCATTCTTTCTTCACCTTATTTTTCATATGTATAGCAATTCGATCCAATACATATCTTTACGAAGTCCTGCTTTATTGAAATATCAGGAAATCCTCTTTCATAAAACTTCATTCCAAACATGTGTTGAGATCACGTTATCTGTAGGCTAATTACGCTAACAGGCTGCTCAGACCTCAGTAGGTGGGGTGACGTTAGAACCTGTGATCCATTGGTTGTAAATCAAGAACCTAGACCAATGAGCTATACCTCCATTTTTACCTGTGATCAGAACAAAAGTCTTTTAGTTCATCTACATTCCATAAACAATTTGATGGACAACCTCTAAATAATCAACTTGTCTAGGTAATCACACGTAGATAAAAATAATTGAACATAATGATTTTACAAGTTACACTAAAACCGCTCATTTCCTAAACTTATTTATTTTCAAAGGGAAATCTACGTTGAAGTAAGCAAAATGCCTAATGTAATAGTAGGAGTAAAGTAGATAGATCACAGTTTAAGCAGTGATTTTACATTTCTACTGACATTCTGTGTTACACCATGAAAATTTAACTATGAAGTTCGGTGAATTTTTTGGTGCAGATTGAAAGAAACTGTGTGGTAGCTGTAGGAAATGACACAGGACAGTAGTCTTTCATAGTATTATCCCTTTGGTAATTTATTCAATGCTCAAATAAACAACGTGGTTTTTAGAGGTTGAACTACGATTCAGTGATGTGGAAAATTGATTACTACTTATTTTCTTCATTTCACCTACCTATTATTTGGCATTCAAGCAGTATCACAAACTGTTAAACATGTGCTATGAAGCACAGTCTTGACACCTAAAGTTTTAAGTAATTATTGCTGTGAATTTAATTTTAACCCATCATAAAATGCGTGGATTAAAAGAAAAAGCCTAGTTGCGTATTCAAATCAAGCCACTGAATTTATCAGCTTACTTGATACAGAAGTGCTTCCGGCCCTTTGGACTTCATTGTCAAATAGAAGAAAACGCGTATCCTGCATTTCAACTGCCGAACACTAACCATCATAACCATTATACTGGAGCTACAGGCAATATCGAAGCATCCACGCAGGAACCCGTGTGCCAATGGAGGCTGACTGGTTCAGTCCAGTCAACGACGGAAGATTACAAGTAGTAACATAAAAGTTGTTCCCAATTCATCCATCAGATAGTCAGTTGAGACTCTAAGTGATCAAACAGAGACTGAAATGAAGTTGTCGAATTTTTTCGTAGCTAAATTGATACAGCCCCGGGAAAGTATTCTATTAAGAATCGGTTCCCATCTTGTTGTGAAGCAATTTTTGGCCACGATAGGAGTAAAAAACTTAAGGAAGCAGCTTACACAAAGTCACAAAACTTCAGAAATTTATTTTTCGCCCTCATCAGGGCTTTACAAACATTTTCTTCGGTAAAAGTTTCTGCTGAACTTCAATCGCTGCCCTTAGTGAGTCGCTTACATTCCTATTGCTTTAATATCAGTTAACGAAGAGTAATATTCAAGTTGTTATTCATCGAAGACTGACATCAGTTGGAGGAACAAAGGAAACCTGGAGCACTGGACAGCTGTTTCGTCCTAGTATGGGACTCCTCAGCAGTGCGCACCCACGACCCCACCAGCAGGATCGAACCCGCGACCTTCAGGTTCCGCGACCAGCGCGTTACCATTGAGCCACTGGTGTCCAACTGATGTCAGTCTTCGATGAATAACAACTTGAAATATTTCCAAATCTCCACAACCCCTCAAAATTTAATTGAACTAGTGCTCGTTGGTGACTAGCTTCGAGAAGTATTCCCGAAGTTCCAATGACAAGTCGTGACCGGTGGAGTCAAAGCCTGATGGCCGTGAGGACAAATACTCAACGATGACATTGGGTGGCGGTTTGCGCTATATCGTGAGCTGACAGAAGTTGGAAATATGGAGCATTGGATTGTGACCCAGTGCTCAATGGTAACGCGCTGGTCGCGGAACCTGAAGGTCGCGGGTTCGATCCCTGCTGGTGGGGTCGTGGTGCGCACTGCTGAGGAGTCCCATACTAGGACGAAACAGCTGTCCAGTGCTCCAGGTTTCCTTGTTCCTCCAACTGATGTCAGTCTTCGATGAATAACAACTTGAAATATTTCCAAATCTCCACAACCCCCTCAAAATTTAGAAGAGTAATATGTTTCAAAATGTTTATGAATACTGAAGATTTTGTATTATTCTATACATTGTATTTTTCTTTTGGTTATCTTCTTGACATTTACTTTAGATTTCTAGTTTATAGAGCTCTTGCATCAAATTTGCCTTCCTGGCTTATCAAACATGTGATTAAAGTAAAATTAAGATACGGTCAGCAGTCGGGTGTTGTAACTCAGTTGGTAGAGCATCGGTTCGGATCCTGCCGAGGCTCAGATTTTGTTTCACTCTCAGTCATCGCCCAGTGTTGTTACAAGTTTGCCAAACCATGTCTATCTCAGCCAAACTTATATATATATATATATATATCGTGAGATCTGCTGCATCAGCGATACTGAGATAAAGTCAAGGCTAGCAGATATCCACTTGGAGTTATGAAGACGCTTCACTCCGTTTTTTTACATGTAGTAATAAAAAAATGGGATGACGTTAAGAAAGTCACTTAGGTCGAATTATTTTAAGTGTGTGAGTTAGTCAGATAATTATTATATTTGTGAAAAGAATATGTGGCTTTAGGAATTGCACATTAGTGGTAATGTATCTTACGATTTATTCAATATGTTTTTTTACTCTCAGTTAATCAAAAGCTTCATGACTAAATTAGTTCGATGTAATTCTAAGGTAACTCCGGTTGTTACTGCTGTTTGGTTCGGAAAACTAAGGTAATTCTTTTAGGCGTTTGACAGGACAAATCACTCTCTTACACACAGTTCTACATTCGGTGAGACAATCTTCTGGTGACAGTTATATTTTTAAGGTAGTATTCATCACGAACTGACATCAGTTAAAGAACAACCGAAAACCTAGTAGCTCTGGACAGTTGTTCATGACGAAGACTTTAAATTCAAAATCCCTATTTACCTGAAAATACACTACTATACAGCACTCATTAGTGACATGCTTTTAGATGGACATCCTGAAGTTCGAATGAGGAGTTATGATCGCTGTAGTCAAACAGTTGGAAGTGAAGTAGATATCAGCTGACGAACTTGGTGGATAGTCGCGCTTTGTCCTGAATTGTCTGAAGCAGGAAACTGTGGACCATTGAATTCCAACCCAGAAGCTGGATGGTTAACGTGTTTCTTGTGAAACCTGAAGGTTCTGCTTTCGATCACTGGTAGGACGAGGTCGTGTGTGGGTACTGCTGAGTCCCGTACTAGTAGGACAAAACAGCTGTCCGATGCCCATAGGTCTCCATTGGTTCTCCGACTGATGTCAGTCTGTGATCAGTACTACATTGAAAATTAAATCCCCATTAACCTCAACATACATTACAGACAGACAGATATATATATATATATATATATATATATATATATATATATATATCTTCAGGTTTTGTTGTTATAAATTAGCTGTTCACATGCAGCATTAAATAGTAGAGAGTAGTTTTTTATGAATATAAGTATGCAATGTGACGGTCTTTAAAGTGTTTTGGGTTTATATCTACTTAAAACTAATCAACTATGATTTTGAGAGGTGACTCTAAAAAAGCCACGGTAGTAACTGCATAGCTAATCAACTGTATTTCTCTGTCTCAGCCAGGATGGTGTTTTTTTGTCACAAAATCGCTCAACCTGATTGGCTATTTCAGTATTCGTTAAGGTAGTCTTTTAAGTCACTCCCTTCAAGCACTTAAGTTAAATCTGAGTAAGAAAGAGATAGATTTGTTATAATTAGTTATTTATTTACTGCATGTTTTTAGTCTTATTTTGAATCGACTTTTAGATAGAAATTAAGAAGGAGATGCAATACTATTTTGAACTCAAGACCATAAATTGATAATTAAACATCGTAAAAAATATTTAGTGAGCAATATTCTCTAACCAATACAACCGATTTTTATGAAATATTTCTTGAAATGATTTTTACTGATGATTTCCTGTTTATGCCAGATTTCTTTTCAAATACTTCGTAGTAATCCAGTAAATATGAGTCAAAGCATAACTGCTTATTGAATTATAAAGCACTAATTAGATTATCACAGCTACTCATCAGTGTATATCACACATGTGAAGTGAATAATTTATCTACTGTTTAGACTTAATGTCTTTCTGTTATTGGTTACTGTCTCTAACACGCATATATCATGTGGTAAATCCAACCCGTCACCTTATTTAATATACCTAAGTGTATTTGGCAGTGATTTATTCCTAATTTTGTCAGTTTGTTAGTTTACTACTTCATGATTTCATGAATTCATAGGAGGTTTGCCTATTTTTCATATAGCTAAGTATACAAAATTTACAGATCGTCAATACTACCTACTCCCGTAATTTTGTGGTTTTTGTTTTCGGTGTTGTTTTTGTTAAATCGGGTTTTCAGGCTTGTTTATTTGTTGTTATCTTCGTTTGTTGTACACATCACAGCTTGAACGGACTGTTCCATTGGGCATACTGAAATATTAGAAAATGGCAAAGATAAGGAGAAGTAAATAAGTTATCTCTCACTCTCTTCCTCTCTGTCTTTCTGCTTACGTGGATACTTTACCTAGCAAAAATCCTTTTTGTTCATCTGTATATGCTTGTGTCCTCTTGTGTTAATAGGCAGGAATGCAAGAAAATGGATAAATGCAAATGTGTATTTTTCTATCTTTACAGTTCAAACTATCACTTCGCGCTATTAAATAGTAGGGGTTATAATAATGCAATTATTATTTACTTTAATTTCACTTTTGTTACGCTTCATTCACTTTTTCGCCTTTTCTTTTTATAAACAAGCCATTTTTTATTTGGTTTACTGTGAACGTTTTCATGATTTCCTTATTTTTCGTTTCCTCTTTAGAAAAATGTTTATTGGTGGTTTGAGTCCTACTACAACATCTGGTGAGTTGAGCCTTTGTTGTTGTTGTTGTTTTTATTGTAATCGACAATGTTGTTTCTTTACTTTTCCCTTGTAGTTATTTTTTAAACATGCATTTTAACTGTGTCATCCTATGTGTTTGCTTTTACGAAAGAATGAAGCCACATTCTGATTTTAGTGTTTTTCTGAGATATTCTCCTTTATCGTCTTTTCCGAATAATGCGCACACACATCATTCTCGTTATATGTTAACTGCTTATCACTAAGTGATGTGTTTTATGTACATTTATCTTTTGTTCTTGTCATCCTGTTCCTAGTGAAGTGATGAACAAAACATATTCGGAAAACAATTTATGCAAAATAAACTGTTTTCACAAATGTATACGTATGTTAGTAAGATTTTCAACAAAATGTGTGCATTTCGGTTAGATTACTTACAAATTAACACGGTAGAATTTAAATAAAATATCCATCAATGAAACGTCGAAATAGATAGATGGTTTCTTGATAAACCATCAAATTATTTTCTTTACTGTAACCAATACAGCCTTGGGGTTGTACACTATGCTATAGCATAAGATTTAATAATTACTATGTACCACAGTGGCATACTTAAGACCAACTATACATCACGCAGTTGTTAAAATGTCAGTTACACTAGATGAAATATTGTATGATTTGAACATCTCAGAGCTAAGCGTGACTGAATCAATCCATGAACTCTTTTACAAGTGGCCTTAGCTGTCTAGATTGGCATAGGCTTTCTGATTGGTGTTCAAGAGGCAAATAAAATTGATACCTTGAATAACGTAACTAGGAAGGAATGACAGTTGCACAGTTTCATTCACAAAAAGAAACTTTATACATATATATATATATATATATATTCTCATATCTTTTATCTTGTTGCTTAATTTATAGGGTTTGTGACAGCTTCCGGCTTGGGCTTTTCCCTCTTCGTTGTTAATTTTGCTTTTTTTCTGAATTGATCTGAGAATCGATAACTTGCAACGAATGTTGGGTAACATCATGAAAGGTATATTTGTAGGTTGTGTCACGACTCTGTAGACAAAATTGAATGTGTTACGCCACATAACCATATTGTCCAGATCTTTCAAAGTAGCCTAAAATTTACGATATCTTCAAAAATCAACTTTGCATTTTCAGCACGAGATATTTGACTGTTTGTGGAAATATAAGTTTGGTGTAAGGGGTAAAGTTGATAGAGTATGTCAGTCTAGAAAGACCTGGAAATAACAGTAGCTACTATAAATATCTGAAAACCATAATATTTTGCACCGATTGCCGCTGCAATAGACCATTGTTGTCTTGCCACCTTTCCTATTCCAGAAAAGTTAAGCAATCTCCATGGGGGATATCTAAAACTTACTGTTCAGAAGTATATTTATGTGTACAGTAATGAAACATTTGGTTTTCAGTAGCTCAACATCTTAGTCTGTATGCAACAGTCATCTGTGAATTAATTCCATTTAAAAGTTTAAGTGCTGAAAACTTGAAGCAGCCGTCTCTTTACGCATCGCATAAAATCCTCAACGAATGACTTCCGAAAGTTTGGTATGTTGACAACGTTGAAAAATGACTATGAATAAAACTAGGAAAAATATTCAGAATGCTGTAGCGAAGTCTCTCAACATTTGATGAAAATATATGTGTAAAAAATAACAATTATGAATAACCAACAGTGACAGCATTGGTAATGTGAATATTATCATATTGGCATCATTGTGACATGTTAGTCTGCATCCTCAACATTATCGTACATATGCTTCTAGTGGTTGTTTTTCAGCATCAACGTGAAACTTCGCGTTACTGTGTAGCAAACCAAGTTGCTATACATTTCTCAGCACCCTTGTACACATTCATGCAGTAGGCAATGAGCCATACCAATTTTTTGAGGGCTAATGATACCACCTTTCTCTCTAGATTTCAGCAGGTGGGGCAGCAATTGAACCTCTGACGTACTTATTAGAGGCCGACTCACTAAATTAGTGAGCCACAACTACACATGTCAGTTGCAGTTTTAGCCTTCGATTTAAGTTGTCACACTTACTCCTATTGCGGAGTCTACATTTTTTTATATAGCTCAGATTAAAAGTCTGAAACCCTATGAACTGATAAGATGAATTATTCTGGCTATCACTGACGTTTTTCAAGCCTGAACTTGCTTCAGCTAACAGCTTTTGGTGGGAAAGATGGTGACTAGTTATGCATAACATATGTCCCAGCCATCCGAATCCATAAAGGTCCACAACCTAACTAATTGATTTATCTCTCCTACTCCAAAACAGTACGCCCGCTATATACATTACCTCATGGTGACTTTATGGAACTGTGCTCATGCTTTGAATGTAATGCTGGTCGAATACTAGAATCTTTCTCATGTCATCCATCTTTAATTTGTATTTCTCATAGTCATGTAATAAAACAAACAGAACTACAGAGCAGTACATCTAGCCCTTAATATCCATTCGCATATTATAGTGGTGTGAGTCATCTTTGTAGAGATTAAGTTAATTACCGACCCACCAAGGCTGATCTGACTTCCCATGTAAGTTAAGTAATCAGCGTACTCAATCACTTCATTTTCTATTGTTAGACAAGGTGTCAATGCAGACCACTGCTTGAAAAAGTTTGTATTTGCTGTACTTGAATGTAATACAGATTTTCTGTTCCTGTGTAAACGCAGCTTGAATGAATGTGGGAAGATGTGACTGACTGCTACCACTATCATTTTTGTCAGTCATATTGTTAAAAACACCGTTTATGTTTCTAGCCTTGTAAAATGCAGTCTAAATTACTATATCTTTCAATCTTATGCTTTGCTATGGAGTGAAATAAATAATCCACTCCCGTGAACAGAGTTGTTTTAATATATTTCATGACAGGTGAAATTATAGATCCTATATGTAACCCGTACAGAAATTACTACTACTTTATGGTGACTTTTAATTAATAACATGTCAGAAAGGCAGATCATATGCCTTACACTCCACTTACAGTCATCAATGTTAACTTTTATCAAAACAATAAAGTAAACAGGTAATCAAATGCATATCTCCATCAGTTTTACTGAAGAGGCAAGTATGAGCAGGATGGATGCAGGAATATATAGTAATGGTTGTTCACTTCGCATCTGAGGTATGATGCTTCAAGATGCCTCATAACCTTGAAGACCCAGTTGCCAACCAGTTACTGTACTGACATCCATTTAGACTAGTTTTGATATTTCATGTTGGTATTCTTCACGGACTAACATCAGTTGCAGGAACATTAAAAACCTGGGAGCACTGGAGGAAGTTTAGCTCCTAATATGGAACTCCTCATTAGTGCGCACCTATGACCCCCCCTGCCAGAGATCGGACCCACAGCCTTGACGTTCTATGGCCAGTACGTTACCAATGAACTAATGAGTCGGAATCCGGTGGTCCATATTTTTAACTTCTGTCAGTTCATGACATAGCGTAACCATCACCTGATGTCATCGTTGAGTGTTTGTCCCATGGCCAGTGCTCGTTGGTGACGAGCTTCGAGTGGTTCCTGAAGTTCCAGTGAGAAGTCGTGACCAGTGGGGCAAACCTGGTGGACGTGAGGACAAGTACTCAATGATGATATCAGGTGATGGTTGCGCTATGTTATGAATTGATAGAAGTTTGAAATATGGACCACTGAATTCCGACTCAGTGGCTTAATAGTAAAGTGCTCACGGTGTAACCTAAGGGTGCCGGCTTCGATCCCTGGTCAGGCGGGGTCATGGGTGCGCACTGCTGAGGAGCACAAAACAGCTGTATTGTGCTTTCAGGGTCTAATGTTTCTCCAAGCGATGTCAGTTCATAATGAATAGCAACTTGAAAAATCACTGAATTCCTACAACCCCCCCCTCCCCCAAATAAAATTCGATACCTAAATGCTTTTCACTGTAGACAACGACCAATGCTGAGTAAATGTATAGGTTTTAACCTTGTAATTTTCCAGATAGATTCAGAGTACAATAACATGTACATATGGCACACTGAGAAATTAAAAAAGTGAATACACAACCAGGTAGTATTATCTGCAAGCATTTTTAAAATGATTATCGCTTAGCGAAGGTGATAAATGGGAATAAGTGGAAAACGATATAAGCATTTTCAGTCCAGATACCAAGCTACTTGTTAAATGTCAGAAGTTTAGAACATTGCCTGACCGACATTTGGGATAATTAGTTTTATATCCACAAATTTTAATATTATTCGCCCTAATTATTTTTTAATGTTTATGCACAGTGTGCTAGAGAGATGGATATAGGTACCTCTTATGGTGTGCTTCGAGGCTTAGAACAGCTAATAATCAACACTTTGTCGTAATCGTTATTTTTTACCCCAGCGATAAGGAAATAAAACATACACTTCAAATGTCTGGATTGTTTTTTTATATTCCAAACTGCTTATGTCGATACTATTCAAAAAATAAGGAAGCCACTAGTTCATTCCTTGCTATGTTGAAGATATCTACATATTTTAGCTACAGTCTCCATGAATCAGTGAAATTCCCATCATGTTCAAGACACAAACACTTGGTTGTTTCATATTTAACCACACTCTTTATGGAATACCAAGGCATGAGTAACAAACCAAAATAAAAAGTACATGGAGAACACCTTGGGAGATCCAAAAAAAGGTGTATAATTCAGTCGGTTGTTGAGACGATGACTGAAGAAACGCTGAGATATCGATTCATAAGTCATACAAAGGCATTTTTACTTTCTGATGAATTGTTTCCAGTTTATAATTTAGTCTTTGAAGTCAGATCATGCACCTCACAGCTTTTTGGCATTTGATTTTCTCATCTTTCGGAATTTAGGTGAATCAGCGAAAAAATAACCTTATAGATCATCTTGCATAACAGTTGTGTGGAATAAAACAGTAATTATTTTGACTTTTTGTTATTGTTTTTGTAACAAAGAAGCATTTATCACTGAAAGTATTCAGATGATCCCTATTGATTTTATAGTTCTTCTACTTTATTCCCTCTATTGGCTACCAATTCAATCACTTACTTTTGGCAAACATTTCGACTACACAATGAATATAAATTCATTGTTTAGCGAATATGATTTCTTTTCACGTGCAATTTTAGTGATTGACTCAGTTTGTTTCATAATTATTGCATCAGAATGACAACTGTCGCATTGTTGTACAAAAGGGCAGAAAAATAAATTTACCTATTTGATTTAAAAAATAGATATTTCCTATCTAATTTTTTTCATTGAATTGAAATAAACATGAACTTATTTTCTCAAAATCAATAATAATGACTAAGGTACATTTACTCCTTATTCTCCTGAAGATAGTAAACAGAGATATCAGTACAGAAATTGACATAACTGGATAGCCATCATTGTTGTCCGTATAACGTGATATATGCTTCCGAAATTCTATACAACTTCATTGGTCGCCTGAGTCCTTGGGAATAGGAAAGGCGATAACACAATGTTTAAAAATTCAGCAGTGACCTCGATGATTTTCATGCCTTTCTAAAAAGTGCCTTCTCTTGATTTTAATTCATCAACCAATCCGGTATTTTCATGTACGATCAAGTGCTTATTATGGTATATATGAAGTATGCTCCTTGATTATAAAGGATTCCAAGAATTTTGGGTCTCTTTAGAGGAACTAGAGAAAGCAAAACAAGTGAAAATAAAACCCCTTGATCGCTGATCGCCACCTAAATCATTTCACCTTCAGTCATCACCCAGTTCTAGTACAAGTCTGCCAAACCATGGCTGTCTCACTCAAATAGTCATAACGATGATCATTGCGATGCTTCCCCTCTCGAATTCAAATAGATTGAAATTGAGAGAAGAAGTTCTGACTGGGAAGCCAGTGTTAGTACAATCATGCAGTAGTAAAGCGTCATGAATTCACATGATAACTAAGCAAAACCCTTGGTGATTAGAAGGAAAATAAAAATCTGGTCCGTAGTTTGTCCTCGTAGCTCAGTTGGTAGAGAACTGGGCCGGAGACCAAGTGGTCGTTGATTCGAATCTTGCCGTCAGCCAAATTCTCATTCACCTTTAGTTATCACTGAATACCTAAATGCCATGTCTTCAGAAAAAAACATTAAAAGACAAATAGAAGGTATTTCCATTTTAGTCATAAACACCACACCACTACGTTTACACAAGATCCCTTCTAGTTATAACGCCTTTACACTTTTCTCTGTTTTATTTCCATGACTTTAGTAAATGAAGCTAGTTGGCCTACTGCAATGTTTCTCCTGTATTATGCTTCCTATATCTGTTTGTCTGACCATCATACGTCTAAAAATACTCTGTACCACTCAAACCTAGATCGCGAATGCTTTTTAGCTTCTTAAATCCTGTTTTTTACATGATTGACAATATGTGAGGTAGCCAGTTTTACAGTGTAGCTGAAAGTTCTTATATCAAATAAACAAATGTAATAGGAACTACATTCTACCACAGTGCCCAAGTTTTTCACTTCTCTGTCCTCATAAAATTTCCAGTTCCTGCCTAAAAGCTATGGTTTTCACATCAAATGTTGGAAATTTTTAAAACTTGATATCTTATCAATTGAATTATCTTAACTCTAACCTCTCTAGGCCTTTTATGTAAGTAATAAAATCTACAGCACAATCCTAATGTTATATTTCAGTCTCAGTTCTTTCGATTAATTGTTTCTTTCATTGTTCACCTGTTGTGATACCTATTAGATACGTGGTTACATCTCTCCTTTGAATGAAAGAGAATTTTACTATTCCTATTTTACAGAAGGCTTACGGGATTACTTCCAAAAATATGGTGAACTTAGAGAGTATATGATTATGCGTGATCCTCTTACAAAACGATCAAGGTAACAGAAATTGTATGAAATGTATAGCATGTTAATTGTTTAATTTAATCTTCTCCATAATTTTCATTTCAGCACTAATGTTTTATCCTTTTGTTGAGTAAGAATAGTAGTATCCTAATGGGTAGTAGGAGATAACATTGTTAAATAATTGAAAATTTCACCATATCTCACCTCCTATTAAATGGTAGTATTAGTCTGATCAGTTGTCTAATTTATCACAGAATCTTCCGTTGTGGTAATTTGATTTGCATACTTACATATGATCTTTCAGCATTAACTTAGTAATGTACTGAACCCGGGTTTGTGCAACATCTCAGTGGATAACAAAATTAATCAATCTAGAGGACATTTTCTGTATAAGGAATTATCAGTATCACTAAAGCTTTATTGACTTATCTATCCGCCCGGTTTCTCATGACTTCAAGTTATATGAGCAGCACCATGAGCTGAAAATTTAAGGCCAGTGGTACTCTATAGCAAAATATATCTCTAGTTTCGACACTGTTAGGATTCCTTTCAGAGACAGAAGATGGAGTCTTTTAATTCACTAACCTTAATCCATATCAATACCAATAACTTCAATCGGATAATGAAGATAAAGATATCAGATTACTGAGCATTTAGCAACCAATTTCTTTTCAATGTCAAATACGGGCATGAAGATAAATTCTTGTAATGTCTCTGAATAATTTTGCCATAAGAACAAATAATCTCTTGAATTAGTGATGTTAGGATCGCTTTATCTACTATATATATATATATAGTGTAACTCAGCTTGTTATATGCTTATGTATTAGGCTATAAGTCACACATGTGTTAGGGTATATGATACTACCGGGTAGAAGCAGGCTTACAAGTGGTATCTTGTCTTTTGGAAAAAATACCCCTTATGGTATTTAAATATTCAGTCTATCTACTTTAGTTCTTTTCTTATACTATATATAATTTTTCTAATTGTCTTCCTGTTTGTAATTTTCCAAGGGGTTTTGGATTTGTTACATTTTCTGATCCAATGTGTGTAGAAAAAGTCCTTGAAGCCGCTCCACATATTTTGGACTTCAAAAAGGTAAATATCAGGATTACTATTCAGTATTTTGCTGTACTAATTTGCTCAATTCATATAATAGGAAAAAAGATCTCTATGTAGGATGCATATGCCATGTTTGATGGTAAGGTAAAATGATGAGATTGGTTTCCACTCTAAAATTTCAATAAAAAATGAAATAAATAAATACAACGTTTTTTTCTTGCCTGAATTATTTTAAGAGTCTGAAACGTGTTGGTTTGCTACTAGAACTGTTGTAATCTTTGTTGGTAGCAAGCGAGAGCATCGTAAACATACGTTTCGACCAATTCTGGACTCGTCAACCGAATGTGTGTAGTGGTGTCCCCAGTGAGACTCAAATTCAATACTCATCATTTCAGACACTTGAGCATTATCCTCTAGGCTACTTAAGTTTGAAAATCATATGTTGAGCAACGGATACCAGCTGGTATTCACTGATGGTTGTAATTATAACTAATCAATAGCTGTTATAAATTGTTATAATATTGTATATCTCCAGGCCATATTGAGGGATCGTATTGTAGTCACCAGAGATTAATGAGTTCAACTCAGTCTAGTCATCAGCGATTAAAAGTGTCAATAAATAAACACTGTCTTGCTAAATATTAATAAATTACATTTCAATATTTTCCGCCCAATTTGTTTTTGTCATTGAAAAACATGATCTATATTGATGTACGGTCAGGGAATGTGAAAAAATATCTCTGTTCATGGTATTACACAACATTTGCACTATGTTACGAGCTGAGATTTGTTTCCCTGGAAACTACGTAAAAAAGTTAGAAGTCTCAGAATAGACACAGTACAGTTCTTTGTGACTGACAGTAATTTCATAAGTCAGTGATGCACTTAGATATTGCCTGTCTTAGGCGAATAAAGTTTTCACATGTGAAATGAACTATCAGTCATAATTCTTCAAACCTATTATTACCATATTTCTTGATGAAATGTTGGGCAACATTCGACTGACGCAACAAGTTTATGATGATGTAATTTTGGGTATTCACTGTTGAAACACATGCACTGACTTTAGGTTGGAAACGAAGAAATCTGTTTATAGCCAACGTTATAAAAACTCCTTTGCCACCTGTTCTTTCTTGTGATAACAGAACTTGTATGTGATCCTCCATTAAGAACAATTTCTTTTCTTCTACTGAAAGTAACTACGATTAACCCAATTGTTGAATAGTGTACACCTTCCTAAAGAACACGTTTTATGAATGCATCCGTAGACTTCATTGCGTAATCCAAAAAATTCTGTTTCACCTTTTAAAAGATAAGCGACCAATTCGCAGCGTGAATTCCAAGACATCAAAAAAAATCGTCTGGATGTTTTTTCGAAAGCTTGATTTTGCTATTTTACTTTTCTTAAAATAAATAATTCTTAAAAGTAGTATTCATCATGGACTGATATCAGTTGGGGAACCATTGAAAATCTGGGAGCACTGGGACTCCTCAGCAGTACCCACCCACGATCTCCCTAGGGATCATATTCAGGACTTTCAGGTTTCACAGTGAACGCGTTGACCATTCAGCCTCATTAATCTCAAACATACATTACTGCATAGTGCTAATTAGTGACACGCTTCCAGATGAATATCATGAAGTTCTAATGAGAAGTCGTGACCTGTGAGGTCAACCAGTCAGAAGAGAAGCGGATGCCAAATGAACACCTTCAATGATAGTCGCGCTATATCGTGAATCGACAGAATTTGGAAACTTTGAACCACTGAACTCCGACCCAGTGGCCGGATGGTCAATGCGTTCACCGTGGAACCTGAAGGTCTTGAGTTCGATCCCTATCTGGTTGGTTGGTGGGTACTGCTGGGGAGTGGCATACTAGGACGAAACAGCTGTCCAGTGCTGCCAGATAATAATAATAATTCTTGAACAAAAAGTATTATTTTAGCTAGTGAACTGATATAGAAACTAGAAGTAAACTGATTCGGTGTTATAGGTTGAGGATACCAAACTAGTATGACTCAGTCTACAACAGGGATCGTCAGTTTAATCTGTCCTTATAGTGGTCAACTAGCTACATATTCTTGCAGTCATCATACAAGATGATTTGATTATCTTCTGCACTCAACAGTGAATGTTCCTTAGCAGTGAAAAGTTATTACATTTTCATTCAGTCAAGTACTGTGTAGATGTTAGCGTTAATGATTAAGTGCTAAGGAGACAAGTTGTTCATTATCATTTGAATGTGTTCAGAGAGATAAATTTCCTTGACAATATCCTCTCCATGATATTAACTTTAACTCATTAATGATGCTAACTTATGTTATATTATTGAAGCAAGTAGAAGCATTGTAAGACAGCATGGGTCACAGTTTACTCAATGCGTTTTAAGACATATCTGTGTTTGTTTTAATGTAGGTATCCACTTGTCATACGTTTAGGTCAATATAAACAAGTTAACAACATAGCCAGTCTTTTAAGGCATTCACTATCGTCAAATAATTCTCAAATGGGTACTAAAATGTACATAAGTGTTAGATCATTGGTAAAAATTTGAAAAAGTAGAAAAAACCAGTTAAAAAAGTTTTAATGATAGTGTGTGTTCATGTTATTTTCGTTTTCTAAATAAAATCAGTAACATTAGACTCTGAATTCGGAACTATTCATTCAGTCTTTATTATTCTTCGCCAACGTTTTTAGATTGACCCAAAACTTGCAGTTCCACGTAAACCTGGACAGAATGCAAAAGTGAGCTCAATTTTCATTTCATATTACTATGATAAATTTAATCTTATACTCTTCTTAAAGTAGTGAATCTTTTGATATACAGTGGTTATTCGATTAATTCCTGATTTGCAAACTGTATATGTTCTATTTCAGAATTATGTATTTCTGATAAGGTGATCTCTGGTGTTTGTGATTATCACTGAAAATTAACAGGCTCCACATCACCTAAGCACACTTAATTTTAGCTCAATCTTTTTACTGTTTTTTTTAATACCTTACCCACTGATGCTTATTTTAATTCAAAAGAATAGATTGTCATTCGCATACATCAATCATTATCAAGAAGAAGCGAAGTCTGTCTCCTATTTATGACAAAACTAGCTAATAAAAATTCAATACAATCATCTCTTCAATCTTCAGATGCTTATTATTTTGTTTACGGTGGAATCAGCCATTCTACTGCCTTGCTATTGTCATGAATAATGCAGTTGTTAGTCATATTTCTTCATGAATAATTCATCTCCATTTTATGCTGTAGTATAGATTTAAATAGAATGACTTTAAAGGCTAACTTAATAACCACTGGAATAACCTACTAGTTTTCTTCATTTTAGGAAAAATCTACCCTTTTTAATCATTAAACTAAGCTAAATTGTTTATTTATGTAGCCACTCAGGTGAATTTTAAAAATCACTCTTTGGATATTGTTAATTTTGATATTCGGTATGGATTAGAAAATTCAAGTAAATCATGCACAATATCTAATTTCTTGCGCATATTTTTGAGATACATCCACCTAATGAGAGTATGTGATACTGGTTAGGTGTTCCAGCAAAACTAGTTGAAGAAAAATATGAACAGAAAACACTAATTGATTAAAATTCACCAATATTAAATCTGAAGAGAGCAGATATAGGTTTTAATGAGTTTTGACACATTAATATTAACTAAATGACGTTCTGAGCACGGTTTATTGCTCATAATCACATCAAACTAACCATATAACTTGCTCAATTGGCTTAGATTAGTTAATTATCTTCCATTTTTCGATACAACTAAGTAGGATTTACAGGCTCATGTTGTTTTGCAGTGAACGAAAAGTACATCAGAAACCCTGGGTAGAACAGTTCATAGAGATATGATTGGAGTAGCATTTGGACGCTCAGATTCACCAGAAACTCTTGTTGTCATCTTATTCTGTTGACTCTTAGAGACAAATTAGTTTGACTAGCTACCTACTATGCAATGACTATGATGTCAAGTATACACAGGTCAAAATAACCGTACAGGGTCATTCGAGTTAGCAGAGAACAGGGATTTACTTAAACTTAGAAGGGTATATCTCGTTAAGATAAGTAACCTAGAGAAAAAATTGACCAATGCTACACATGCACCAACACAAAATAATACAATAGGATGAGACAAGGCAAGAACAGCCGTGAAAGCGAATACAGTGAGGTTGAGGAAGAGTTTGATCACTGAATCTCTGCACGTCGATTCATTATCAAACATAAGCAATAAGAATGACTCAACTTTACCACTAACATCAAAGAATGGTAGGTAATAAAGCTATATAAACCATTTCGATGTGATTACAGGCAATAAATAATATTGCATCACTGTGTACTTTAGAAGCAAACATATTCAATATGTACTGGGTGATGATTAAAGGTGACATAAAAATCTGGACCGCTGCCGGATTCAAACCAGCAAAAACACCGAGTTACCGGCCTGGTGCTCTACCAACCGAGCTGTGAGGTCTGACTACTAACCAGAACTTTATTTCACTTCAATCACTAAGGGTTTTGCCCGACTACCATGTGAATTCGTGATGCGTTACTATCGCTTGATCCTATTCCTACTAGCTGCCTAGTCAGGACTTCTCATCCCAATCCAAACCTAACTGGATCAAAGAGGAGGAGCATCATACTGATTATGATTCGATTGAAGTGAAATAGAGTTCTGGTTAGCAGTCGGACCTCGTAGCTCATTTGGTAGAGCACCAGGCAGGTAACCAGGTGGTCGCTGGTTCGAGTCCTGCTATGGTCCAGATTTTTATCTCATCTTCAATCATCACCCAGTACAAGTACTAGTCTGCCAAACTAAGGCTATCTTAGACAGTCAAATGATATTCAGTATGGGGATGCACTCTACTACATTGCTCAAGCTCTACGCTTAAGTTAATAAACTAGCTTGTTTTTATCACTACGTTTTACTTAGTGAAATACAAGTTAAGATTTCATCATTCAGTCTTTTCAATTCCCTAGCTTTGTTATTCTTATGTACACTTACTTTATCTTAATAAAGATGAGCTGTCTACTACCTCATCAACAGGTTTAACAAATTGATAGTTTCAATAGTATTCGGTTTTATGCATCAAAAGAACTCATTCACTGCATCTCCTTTCATTTGACACTTTTGGTAGATACAGCTATTTACCAACACAATCCTATTTGTCTTTTAAGATTCTTGTCTCTAACCTATCACGTAAAACTTCACGGTACTTTCCAGCTTATAAGTGAAGTATGATAGTGATCAATTTATCGAACATTATTTCTCTGTATAACTTGTTTTCTGGCTTGTCTTTATGGAAAATGCCTTATTAATTCCAAGTGTTTCGTTGTTTATACGGGTGGCTAAATGCATGAGTTACGCACTTCCTACATTGACAGATATATCATTTGATACGTGAGTCACATTGTTCCTTAAGTATATGTAAGTTGAAGGGAAAAGTAAAAATCTAAAGTGTTTTCGTAATGTTTGATTTGCACTAAAAGATGTTTAGAATATAGTTGAAATGTTTGCCCCTCAGTTTAGTATTTTTTCTAATCTCATATCCTAACTATTTTCACGAATATTATTCCACACAAAAAGCTGTTGATCGAAATTTTTAGGAAACTGTTCAGTCGATCATCTTCCTCTGAATTAAGCATTTAGTTTACCAAGGACACATAAATAAACTTATTACGACTGACAGACTATTATGCCCTTAATTCTAAGTTTGTTAAACATCATTTCGTAGTAACTTTGTTTAACTAAACTGGTCTGCACTTTAGTGAACATATGATATTATGATATTTTGAATGCAGGTTGTAAACTGTCTTCACAGGGACTATATTTATTAGATCAGTCTTTTGGAGAACCAACTTTTATTCTAATGAAGCTAGTTTGCTCACAATGATGTTATGAACTTACGACGTGTTCGACGCTGTTACAGTGGTCACTGACAAATCTGTCTTTGCTATAACCCAACCACTAAAAGCTTAAGTGGAATGGTTTTGAATGACCCAATCACTAATCAAATCGTCCTCTAAAAATGGGAATAACTGTGATTATAAGCTTTTCTGGCAAATAATTATGATACTAAATGCACACTGACTGGCTAATCGAAAGTAATCAGTTCCATAATGTGTAGGCTTACGTGCCAACCGAATTTGTAACTCATTTTCTCAATATCTCAGTGGTCATGTCTACAACTGCAGCACTAGATAATGCAGGTTTCAACATTTACTGGGATATCAGCTCACTGAAGGCTACAGACTACTGATGAGTTTCAATAAGTGCGAAACCTATGTTGTGCGAGGTTTTTCTGCCAATTACCTCCAACCAACAAACATTCTCAGATGTGTACGGTGAAGTAAAGAGTAATTTTCACAGCAATACGGAATGATAGTGAGAAAACTGAATTTTTTTTGTGTTTAACGTTCACAATCATGGGGGAATATCACCAGTTGTGGACCGGTCATTCACTGAAAATCAATCTAATTTTCATAAAATTAACTTTGTATTTCAGAATCCTACTCTTCGATATCATTTATATCATTATATGAAGTTTTGATTATTTCTTAATATTTATCTCAACACAATACATAAGTTTATTAATCTTCATCTATATTAATTTATTAACAAGAAAATTTGATTTTGAAATGCCTAAAAGTTGATTTTTATATTGATAATGATAAATATAATACAAACAATAACATTTATCAATTTACATGACCAGCAGTTCTCGATGACAGAGTTTAGGTTGATAATAACTGTCATTTGTCTCTATATAATAATTGTTGCGATACTTGCTTGCGCTCGAACGCCTACATGTACACACACACACATACCCATATACGGACATGCTCACAAACTGAACATAAGTAGGTATAAATGATAATTATAATACCAGCAGAGAGTTGAATAATATTTCTTGTTCTGATGTGGACATTTTTATCGGTTCCTGTAATTGACTAAATGACAATAATCTGCATATAATGAAATGTGATATGATGCAAAATAAGTGCAAAATAGTATGATGGGTCTTTTATCAAGTTCATTACTATTTCAAAGGTAACTGACTGCTTAATTAATACAGATAGAATTTAGAAGCAGTGTTCACCACGGACTGACATCAGTTGGTGAACCGTTGAATACCTAGGACAACTGTTTCGTCCTAGTATGGGACTACTCAGCACTACGCACTCACGACCCAGCAAGCTGTCGAACTCAGCAAAATACATTACTGCATAGTGCTAATTAGTGACACGCTTCCAGATGAATATCATGAAGTTCTAATGAGAAGTCGTGACCTGTGAGGTCAACCAGTCAGAAGAGAAGCGGATGCCAAATGAACACCTTCAATGATAGTCGCGCTATATCGTGAATCAACAGAATTTGGAAACTTTGAACCACTGAACTCCGACCCAGTGGCCGGATGGTCAATGCGTTCACCGTGGAACCTGAAGGTCTTGAGTTCGATCCCTATCTGGTTGGTTGGTGGGTACTGCTGGGGAGTGGCATACTAGGACGAAACAGCTGTCCAGTGCTGCCAGATTTTCAATGGTTCCCCAACTGATGTCAGTCCATGATGAATACTACTTCTAAATTATATTCCTCATTCATCCCAAAAATACACAAATGGAATTTTCATTTATACATTATAAAGGAATGTGAAAACTAGTTTAAGTTTTGATTGTAATGTAGATTAAGTGAATTCATAATAGTGATATCGATTTTGTGTGCATTAACGTTGA